AAAGAACCTGAAAGAACCTGAAAGAACCAGAAAGAACCAGAAAGAACCAGAAAGAACCAGAAAGAACCTGAAAGAACCAGAAAGAACCAGAAAGAACCAGAAAGAACCAGAAAGAACCAGAAAGAACCAGAAAGAACCAGAAAGAACCTGAAAGAACCTGAAAGAACCTGAAAGAACCTGAAAGAACCTGAAAGAACCTGAAAGAACCTGAAAGAACCTGAAAGAACCTGAAAGAACCTGAAAGCACAGCACTGAGACAGCAAAAATCGCTCTCACGGTCTCACCTGGGCTCTGCCTAGACTTCTCTGGTGTGGCTGTGCCCCTCCATTCCCTTCCCTCACTGCCTCTCCCTGCCTGCCTCCATCAGCGGCAGCAAAACCATTAGCAGAGGCAAATGCAGCAGCTGCTGTGGAAGAAGAGGACGCAGCAGCAGCAGCGGCAGCGGTGGTCAAAGGTTGAGTAGCGGCAGCAGCAGAAGGAGCAGGAGCAGGAGCAGCAGCAGCAGCAGCAGGAGGAGCAGCACCAGGAGGGGGCAGCAGGCGAGGGACGCTGAGAAGCCAGAGCACAGAGGCAGGCACGGGGTTACGAGTGACGGTGAAGGGATAGCCACGATCAGAGAGAGTGCGTTCCAGCGCCGCTGCTCAGGGGGAGCAGTGGGAGGGGGAGGGAAGAGGGACCCTGAGAAGCCAGAGCACAGAGGCAGGCACGGGGTTACGCGTGATGGTGAAGGGATAGCCGCGATCAGAGAGAGTGCGCTCTAGTGCTGCTGCACTCGGGAAGAAAGGGGAGGCAGGGGGGGCGAGGGGAAGAGGAGGGGACTTTTGAGATGTCTGAGAATCCAGAGCACAGAGGCTTGCACGGAGGCAGGCACGGGGTTATGCGTGACGGTGAAGGGATAGCCGCGATCGGAGAGAGTGCGTTCTACCGCCGCTGCTCAGGGGGAGAAAAGGGAGGAGGAAGGTGGGGTGCGGGGAAGAGGGGCGAAGAATGGAATGGGTAAAGTGAGAGGGAGTAGATGAGGGAGAGGGAGGTGGAGCAGGAGTAGCAACAGCAGGAGGAGGAGGAGGAGGAGGAGGAGGAGGAGGAAGGCGGAGGATGTTGAGAAGCCAGAGCACAGAAGCGGACATGGGGTATGAAACCATAATAATGGGGAAGAGAAAGAAGAACAAGGAAACGAAGAAGAAGAACCATCAATTTTATAGAGCATGCACGCACACATGCCTCCACACAAAAAGCTTGTGCGGCACGTTAAACTCCATGCATTCATAGAGCATATGTGCGTGCGTGCACACACACCTAGAGTGCCTTCGGGAATTCTGTCGTCGATGAGTGTGGTGGCCTTGCTCACAGCATTGCGGCCCTTCTGACAATTTCCGAAAGGATTATACAATGCATGCATGCACGCACCTAGAGTGTCTCTGGGCATTCTGTCGTCAATGAGTGTGGTGGCCTTGCTCATGGCATCGCGGCTCTGAAGCCATTCATTTGTAAAGCATACATGCATGCATGCACGCACCTAGAGTGTCTTTGGGCGTTCTGTCGTCGATGAGTGTGGTGGCCTTGCTCACAGCATCACGGCCCTTCTCCCACCCCTCCACCTCCCGCGCCGCCCCCCTCCTCTCCTGCACCTCCCTCCGCTCCCTCTCCTTGCTCAACCTCTCCTCCTGCATGCTCCCGAGGGAAACAAAGAGGACAAGAATGGGGATGATGGAATATGGAAAAAGCAAACAGGACGCATGAAGGGAAGCGGGGCATGTGGGGGCAGCGGGTGAGAGGGATATTAGTTACACCCCATGGGCAGACACAGAGAGATGGGTGCCATGTCTATCATTCCCATGCATGTGCTGTGACTGCATGCATGTGCTGTGACTGCAGGCATGTGCTGTGACTGCATGCATGTGCTGTGACTGCATGCATGTGCTGTGACTGCATGCATGTGCTGTGACTGCATGCATGCTGTGACTGCATGCATGTGCTGTGACTGCATGCATGTGCTATGACTGCATGCATGTGCTGTGACTGCATGCATGTGCTGTGACTGCATGCATGTGCTGTGACTGCATGCATGCTGTGACTGCATGCATGGTGTGACTGCATGCATGTGCTGTGACTGCATGCATGTGCTGCGACTGCATGCATGTGCTGTGACTGCATGCATGTGCTGCGACTGCATGCATGTGCTGTGACTACAAGTGATGCTTGAACGTGCTGCAACATATACAATAGTTGGAAAACGGCAACATGCTCCTCGGAAGTTGAACACCAAGGCATGTTAGGCAAGCTGAGAGGAAGAGAATGTTTCACATTAATGCCCACCTGCTTCTTTCTCTTCTTCTCTTCCGCCAGAGCAGCCTTTTCCTGCCTCTTCCTCTCCCTCTCTGCTTCCCTCTTCCCTCTCTCCATCTCCTTCCATCTCATACTCTCACTCTCTTCTGCGCCCTTATCGGCGCCGCTGCTGCTGCCATTCCTCCCTCTCCTGCCGCCCTTTTGAGGGGCCTCCAAATTGCTTTCGTCTCTGCCACTCCTGCCACCAATGCCAGGCACCGCACTCAATCCCTCACCACCCTCCGGAATCTCCTCCTCCCATTGTGGCAAATCCTCTCCTTCTCTCCACCCACCTGCACCGCTCTTCATCCGCCCATCTTCATTCCCCTCAAGCCCTTCTCTTCCTTCTCCACACTCACTCACTCCTATCCTCCCCTCCTCTCCTCCCCTTCTCTCCTCTCCCCCCCTCCACTCCTCTCCCCCCCTCCACTCCTCACCTCCCCACCAATCCTCGCTGTTCCCACATGCCACATCATATCTCCCTCAGCATCTTCCCCCAGCGTCACGCCATCTCGCAACGTCTCGTCCATCCACAGAGGGCTGTTTCCCTCTGTTGTTCCACACGCCTCAGGCCGCTGCATTGTGCTTGCGCCTCCTCCCCTGCTCCCTCCGCTGCTCACTCCCCTGCTCTCGAATAACAGAGCACAGTCAGACGATTCGCTACCACTGCTGCTGCTGGTACTACTGCTGCTTCTGCTGTGTCTGCTACTCCTGCTGCTGTTGCTGCTGCTGCTGAGCGTCAACTCCTGACTATCAATCCATGACCTCGTGTCCAGATTATCTTCACAACCCTTCCTCTTCTCCCCCTCCTGCTTCTCTCTGCTCCCTCTTCTGCCTTGACTGCCAAGACTCTCTTGATCACCCTGACTGCTCGCACTGCTGCTAATCTCATAAACACGCGCTGCTCCACCCCCAGCACTACCTGTCCCTTGAAGCATCGCCCCCCCTGCATCGCCTCGCAGCACCGCTTGTCCAGTAAAGTCGCTCAACATCACCTCCCTCGCATGCTCTGCATTCCCATGAGGCGGATCGGCGGGAGCAGCAGCTGGAGCAGCAGCAGCAGGAGGGGTGATAAGCAGACGACGAGCATGGGTGGGGATAGTGGCACGGGTGGCATGGATGGCTGGCAGCTGGGAACGGTATGGGGCAGATGATTTTGCAGCAGCCGCAGTACCAGCGGCAGCGGCAGCAGCAGCAGCAGCAGCAGCAACAGCAGCAGCGGCAGTAGCAGTGGCGGCAGTAACAGCAGGAGCGCCAGTAGTGGCAGTGGCTGCAGTAGCAGCAGTGGCAGAGGAGGATTTTTGTAATCGGCCCCATAGATTGGCTGCTAGATTGTCGTTCTCTCTCTCTGCTCGTTTAAAAGGAGATCCCAACAACCCCCCCGCTTCCTCTTCACATTGCTCCGGCTGTTGTTGCTGCTGCTTCTCCTGCTGCTGCTGCTGCTGCTGCGGAGTCGTGCCATTTCTTCTTTCCCATACCCTGTCAAGATCCACGTCACCTGAACCATTCACTGACTTTTGAGGTGCCTCAAAAGTCTGCCGAGTCGTGCCATTTCTTCCTTCCCGCACCCTGTCAAGATCCACGTCACCTGAACCATTCACTGCATCTGGACAATCCAAGCCACCACTCAGCCTCCCCGCGTCTCCTCCGCGCCCCTCTAACCGTCTCCGTTTCTGCCTCCCCACTTCCTCTCCCACTCCCACCACCAACACGTCATCCTCCGCCGTCAATCGCCGAGCAACCGGACGGTCACGATTGCTTCCACCCGCCGTGCGGTCCAACGCGGTGGGGCGCGGCGGCGGCAAAGGAGAGCCGTCGATTTCGTCGAGATCGATGGGCTCAAGCGTCCGCGAACGAGGCTCGACGACAACGCGCGCTGCTGCTGCTTCCAACGGACGGATCGTCGTCGTTCCCGTTCCTCCGCTACACTGCCGCTCTCCCGCTTCCCGCCTTCCATTCTGCGTGAAATACCCTCTAACCTGCTTCGCATCCTGCCTAACACTCGCTCGCTGCCTCCTGTCTTCCTGTCTAAACGAGCATTGGTCTGACGCAACGGCGATAGGGCGATGGGACGTTAGCGAAATCCCGTTTGTTACCGGCCGTGAGTCCTCGTCACTGTCAGAATCTAGCACGATGGCGGGAAAAGCGGACATGGTGAAGTGGGGTGAATCCGCTTTGCCTGCACAACTGAGGTGGCCGGTTGGGGAGTGAAGTTGGCGACAAGCGAGTATCATGGGCATCTTTTAAGATCCCTCGTTACGTGTAAGACGAAACAATGACCTAGATATGTAGTTATTATGATCAAGGTTCAATTCTCCATTATTTCTGAAAATCCGTGTTCAATAATTGTCACAGAAACAACTAAGATCACATGTCGTCATACACAATTACAGACTCTTGCAACCAAACTAAGCAAAAGTAACTCGTCCTAAACAAGCCAATTATTTATTTTCCACCACCTAAGATGCTCTAGCGCACAGTAAGAATAGCATCTTGCTACACATGGCAAGCACCTACACCACACTACTCTCTACTCCTCCCAGTTGAGTTTCTCTCTCTAGCACTGAAAGCAGCACACCAGGCCCAGGCTGGAGTCTTCAAGTTCAAATCTAAACCAGCTCGTTAGTTATGGTGTCTCTCAGACTCCCCACTGTGAATGCTCCCAGCAGCAGGTCCTAGTGAATGGAGCCGGCCAGAGAGCCGTTGAGGGACGAGGCAGGGGAGGCAGAGCCAGCACGGTGGCGCGAGCTGCCCGGCTGCAACACCTTCACCTTGTGGTTGAGGTCGCTCACTATCTTGGACATGCTCGGACGAAACTCGGGCTCCGGCTGTTGGTGAGAAGAGGGAGTGGGGGATTTGATGGGGGTGGGGGAGGGGCGGAGGGAAAGAAAGGGGAGTGGTGACTTGAATGGAGCACCTTCACCTTGTGGTTGAGGTCGCTCACTATCTTGGACATGCTCGGACAGAACTTGGGCTCCGGCTGTTGGTGTCGAGGGGTGAGGGTTGGGAGATTCGGGGTTTGGGGGGAAGGGAGGGGAGTGGTGAGTCTTAAAGCCGCCTTCACCTTGTGGTTGAGGTCGCTCACTATCTTGGACATGCTCGGACGGAACTCAGGCTCCAGCTGTTGTTGGTGGGGGGAGAGGTGGGGAGAGGAGGGGAGTTGGGTAAGGGGAAGGGGAGGGAGTTGTGTCACATACGCTTTTCTCTTTCATCCCAACTAAAAGAGTGTGCATAGTGCTGGGAGTAGTGCTACATATGCTTTTTTCTTTCAGAAAATACGTGCACATATTTGCTGGAAAGAAATGCCTGTTGCTAAAACTTTCAATTATTGTCCCTCGTACCTGGATGCAGCGGGTGATGACTTCAGCAAACGCCGCAAGCCTGGCAGCGTCTGGCAGAGGCCCAGCAATCTTGGTATCGAGAATGGACTCGAGCTCCTGGGGGTTGTGCAGCAGAGGCGCCGCCCACCGCACCAGCGAGGACTCCGGCTTGGGCTTGGAGCTGCAGAGAAGAGTCGAGAGCAGAGGAAGTCAGGAGGGGGAGTGGAGGAATCAGGCGGTGAGTGTGTGGGAGGCGGCAGTGAGGGGGAGGAGAGGGGAGGGGGATGGGTAGTGAGTGAATGTGCCCTAGCAATAGTGCACGAAGGGTGGTGGGTGAGTTTGAGTAAGGAAATGAAGCCAATGATGTACAGAGCATGAGCATGAGCATGCACGTACGGGTCGACGGGCTTGCAGCCTGTGAGGAGCATGAGCATGCATGCACAACGCCAAAGCAGTAGACCTGTCACCTTTTGAGATGTTGTCCCATGAGTCACTTACTGACTGGTGCAGTGAAAAGCATGAGGGGACGTGCTGTGGTGCGGTGAGTGAACTTACGGGTCGACAGGCTTGCGGCCTGTGAGAAGCTCGAGCAGCACAACACCAAAGCTGTAGACGTCGCTCTTGGCCGTGTAGATGCCCGACATGGCATACTCTGGCGCGTTGTATGCAAAGCCCCCCACCAGCTGGTCCGACAGCGACTAAGGGAAGGAGCGACAGAAGAGGAGATGCACAGTGGGGCATGGGATGGGGGAGTGGTTAGAAGAAAGCTCAGTTGCAGACGGAAAAGGTCGCTCCTGGCAGTGTGGATGCCCGACATGGAGTACTCTGGTGCGTTGTATGCAAAGCCCCCCACCAGCTGCTGGACTGGGACTGTTCAAGGCAGGGTGGGGGGCGGTGGCATTTGCGGAGGCAGAAATTGTTGCAAGGCACTAGCAAAGAGTCTGCAAAGAGCAGCTCACTATCCTCTCCTCTCCCGTCTCTCCCTATCCTCTCTCCCTCTTCCGCTCTCCATCTCCCCCTCCCCCTCCCACTCCCACTCCCCCTCCCTCTCCCTCGCGCGCTCACCTTGTCGTCAGCGCCCACGGGATTGAGGAAGGAGAGGCCGGCGCCAGCAACGCGCGCCTTGAGGCGCTTGTCGAGCAGGATGTTGCGCGATGAGATGTTGCGATGGATGATGGCCGGCACACACTCCTCGTGCAGGTAGCTGGGGGGGGGGGGGGAGCAGACGGGGAGAACGGGAGCCGGGAAGAAGTGAAGGAGACGCGTTGAGACCAGAGAGATGCGATGAGATGAGCACACAAGCGCGATGCGTCGCCCCCTACCCCTTTCCTTCCCCGCATCCCTCCCTGCCTCCCTCCCTGCCTCCCTCCCCGCTTCCCCCCTTCCCCCCTTCCTGCGGACTTACGCAAGCGCGCGCGCCGTGGCAATCGCGATGTCGAGGCGCACAGCCCACGTGAGCTGGTGCGAAGGCTCCGCCGCGGCCGGCACCTTGCTGTTCCCGTGCAGCTGGTCGAACAGCGACCCGTGCGGGTAGTGCTCGAACACACACCAGCAGAGCAACACAAGACATTACCCCTTCCCCGCTCCCCCCATGCCCTTACCCATTCCCCGCTTCCCACTGCCCTCCCTTTCCCCTTCCCCTCTTCCCTCCCCGCGGACTCACACAAGAGCGCGCGCCGTCGCAATCGCGATGTCAATGCGCACAGCCCACGTGAGCTGGTGAGACGGCTCCGCGGCGGCCGGCACCTTGCTGTTCCCGTGCAGCTGGTCGAACAGCGACCCGTGCGGGTAGTGCTCGAACACCAGAACGCGCTCCCCGTAATCCACGCAATACCCCTGGAGTTGCACGACATTCGGGTGCTTCAGCCGCGCCATGTTCGACGCGACCGCGACGAAATCGTCGTCCGATTGGCCCTCGACGACGCTCGGCTCGACGCGCTTCACCGCGATCTCCTGCCCGCTGGGCAGCGTCCCGACGAACGTCGTTCCGAGCGGGTCCGAGTTGACGGAGCGCTCCGAGGAGAAGTTGTCCGTTGCCATTTGGAGTTCGGCTAGGGTTAGGACGACGACGCCTGGCACGCGGCGCGTGGATCCGCCGGGGGTGTTGTTGCCGTGCGCGCCCGCGGCGGCGGCGGCGGCCGCGGCGAGCGCGGCGGAGGATGCGCCGGGTGGCGCGTGGGCGCGCGCAGAGTTGCTGGCCCATGCTGGAGAGGGGGGAAACCGAACGGGGAAGGGGAGGGGGAGGGGGAGGGGAAGGGGAGGGGGAGGGGGAGGGGAAGGGGAGGGGGAGGGGGAGGGGAAGGGGAGGGGGGGGGGGGGGGGAGGGGAAGGGGAGGGGGAGGGGGAGGGGGAGGGGGAGGGGGAGGGGAAGGGAAGGAACGGGCAGGGTGGTTTCAAGAGACAGGAAAGAAAGGGGGAGCGAGCAGAAAGGGTGGAACGGTGGATTAGGCAGCGAATGGGGGAGAAGTCCAGCGAATGGGGGAGAAGTCCAGCGAATGGGGGAGAAGTCCAGCGAATGGGGGAGAAGTCCAGCGAATGGGGGAGAAGTCCAGCGAATGGGGGAGAAGTCTAGTCTACTCGAAGTTACGGTTACGTAACGATTGTTCTTTAGAATCCTCTAACTCCAAGGCGCGGCTTTTGACGAGTAATTTGCAGCGCGCGGGCTTGAACGTGCGACTCACACGACATGTGCATCGGCGGCTTTCCCCCTCCGGAGTGGACATGGTGCGCGGCGGACGACGCGGTGACGACCGACGTGGCGGACACGCGCTTGCTCGAGCCGCCCTTCTTGCTGCTGCTCTTCTTGCCTCCGCTGGAGCGGCGCGGGCGGCAGCAGCGCACGAGAACGACGACGAGGAAGATGAGCGCCACGACCAGCACCGCGCCGACGATCACGCCCGCGATCGCCGCTGCGGACCATCCGCCGCTGCCCTCGTCCGCGGGCGCCTGATCAGGGGTGGTTTGATTCGTGGCTGGGGAGGGGAGGGGAGGGGGAACGGGAGGGGGGAGGGGAGGGGAGGTGCACGGAGGGGGGGGAAGGGGGGGGCGCGGAAAAGGTGACTCACAATCGCCGCTGCGGACCATCCACCGCTGCTTTCGTCAGCGGGCGTCTGATCAGGAGTGGTTTGATTCGTGGCTGGGGATGGGAGGGGAAGATGGGGAGGAGGGGGAGCAGAGGAACGGGAAGAGTGACCACGCGACGAAATAGACGGAGCGTGACCAACCCAAACCAACCGACGCCAACCGAACTCCTGACCTAACCCGACCGTACCCAACCGGAAACACTCACGCGCAGGCAGGAGCAGCTCCGCGGGCGGCTCGACGAGCGTGACTTCGACGAAGCCGAATCCCGAGAGCGAGAGCTGGTTGTTGCGCAGCAGCGCCAATACGCGCTCCACGACGGCCGGCTGCAGCGTCCTCACGGGCGCCTCGGGACCCAGCGCGAGATCCGCCACGACGCTGCCGGGCCGCGACGAGAGCAGGCGCACCTGGCCGTAGTTGACAATAAGATCGTCCGCCAGCTGCATCTCAAGGTCCTGAGGGGAGGGGGAGGGGGGACGGGTGGGGGAAAAGGGGGAAGAGAGAAAGGGCGCAAGTCATAGGTGAGGCGGGCGAGAGCAGGCGCACCTGGCCGTAGTTGATGATTAGGTCGTCCGCCAGCTGCATATCCAGGTCCTGCGCGGAGGCGGAGGGGAGGGGGAGGAAAGGCGCAACGAACGGGGAAGACGGGGGATAGTAAGGTTCGCGACGAGTGCAGGCGCACCTGGTCGCAGTTGACGAGGCCAGGCGCACGAGGAAGAGGCACGGGGGGAGTGGGGAAGGTCACGGGAAAGGCAGGTGATCACTCGTTCTGACGCCCTCGCCTCATTCGGCCTTACCACCCCCCGTTTCTCGACTCACCCGCTGCTTCTTCTCGTCGAAGTTGGCGTAGTTCATGCTCATGTGCAGGCGGAAGCGCAGCGGGTACACGCACACGCACGCCGACGCGTTGCTGCTGAGCTTCGGGTTCGCGCTCGTGCTGTCGTCCGCCATTGGCCGCCACGCCACCTGGTTCAGGTTGCACGAGTCGCACTCCGTCGCCGGCGCCGGCGGAAGCTCCGGCACGGACGGCAGAGACGGCTCCGCGATGGGGGGAACCGGCGTAACCACGGGGGGCTTAACGACCGGCGGCTTGACAACGGGAGGGGTGACGACGGGAGGCTTAACGACAGGGGGCTTGACAACGGGTGGCTTGATCACGGGGGGCTTCACGACAGGGGGTTTCACCACAGGCGGGCGGACGACGGGCGCGGGGAGGGACCCGGGCGCGGAAGGCTGCTCGGTGGGGTCGGGGAGCGGAGCGACTCCCCCGGGTTTCGGGGGCCTCATGATGGGTTTGGTCGGGGGCTTCACGACGGGTTTGGTCGGTGGCACGGGGACTGCGGGCTCGGACGGGGGCGCTTCGGAAGGAGGTGCGGCGGGGCTAGGTTCGGAGGAAGGCGCGGCGGCGGAACCGGGGGCGTCTCCCTTGCCATGCTTGCCGTGCTTGCCGTGCTTCCCGTGCTTGCCGTGCTTGCGGCCCTTTCCTCCCTTCTTTCCTCCGCCCTCGCCGACTTTGCCGCCCTCGAGTTTAGGGTTTCCCTTGATCTTGAGTTTTGCGATGTTCTGGTAGGTAGTCGGCACGGCGCCAACAAAGTTATTCTTGCTGACATCGAGCGCCTCAATGTTGGGCAGCGCGCCGATGCTCTCGGGAAGGGTGCCGTTGAATTTGTTGTCTGCGAGAGACCTGTAACCACCGCAACACACAAGATTTGCCAGTGGAGAACGGCACCGGGGTGGAATTTTTGCGAAACCACGCGTGTACAGTGTTTCAGACCAAGAATGAATGCAAAAAGAGTTTCGTTACAGCAAGGTGTGCGATTTGGGGAGGGTGGCGAAATTGGACTGCGAACTCACATGTGCGTGAGCGATTTGAGACCCGAAAAGTCCAGCGGAAGGGGCCCGTGGAAGGAATTGCCCGCCAAGCCACTGTCAGAGGGAAAAGTGGGAGGGGAGGAGGAAAGAGGGGGAAGGAGTTGAGGACACAAGCAGAAATGGTGGCTTGCGACGCGCCGCTATATCCCGCCACGCTGTGGATGATGGAATGGCGATACCTCGTTACCAGCAGCATTACTTTGCAGTAAATCCAATAGCAAGTAACTATCAACGATTAGGGCAATTATAAAAAACGAAAGCAGATATTACGAGATAGCAGCTTACATGTAGATGATCTTGTCATGTCCAAGTAGGGACTCCGGGAAAGGGCCCTTGAAGTCATTCTTGGAGAGTTCACTGGCGTAAAGACAGGCAGGAGAAGAGGATCGGGTGCGAGCGTGAGCAAATTAAAGCGAAGTCGGTGTCCATGGCATTGTTTATGATGTTGGAAACAATGTTGGAAACAACGTTAAAAATTTGAGAAGGAAACGATATGATTGTCTCAAATGTGGAAAAGGCAAGATATGCCAGAGCTGACTGAATATAGCTGCTTACACATATTGCAGGTTGGTCATGAGCGTGGTGTCAGGAAACGGACCAGTGAACTTATTCAGACGCACGTCACTGAAAGCAAGAGGAAAAGAAACGGGAAAGAGGGAAGAGGATAGGTGGGCGAGCAGCAGACGCAACAAGAGGCCGCCTGCAAGGCTGGCTGCACGCGCAAACAAAAACGGCGCCAGGCACACAGCGGCGTAAGTTACAACCCAATTCGAACAGCAGCACAAACAATAATAGCAGTAGGGGCGTGAGGCGGCTCACATGTGTTCGAGAAACTTGAGCGTGCCGATCTCCTTGGGCAACTCGCCCGCGAATTGGTTGTCCTGCAGATTGCTGCGCGTCACGGAGACAGAGGAGAAAGGGTATAGAGAGCAGCGGGGAACAGGGAGCGGTGATGGGTGAGCAGGGGCGGAGAGGCAAGAAGGGTATAGAGGAAAGGTGGTGAAGGCAGTCAACGGAAAGGGGCCTTGACACGGTGAAACACGAACCACAGGACGTTGGGGGAAACGACAGTGCGACTGCAGCACGGTGCGCAAACGACACGCGAGGTGACGCGTGTAAGGCATGGGGGGTGAAGCGCCGATCGCATATGATACACGGTGTTCAGAAGTGCAGCGAATGTCGCGATACGTACAGGATCTGGAGGAAGGGCAGCCACGCAATGTGCTTCGACAGCAAGCCCTTCACCCCGAGAGACTCCAGGTTGCTGCGGTCGCATACGAGAGTACAAGAGGAAGGAAGAGGAACAGAGAGTGGATGAGAGCGTGAGAGACTGAGAAATTAGACGGTAGTCAGGTTATAACTGGCAGTTTATAGCGGGGAAATGGTGGAAGGCTACATCAATAGAGAGTAAACGGGTGGCCGGGTTGAGACTGGCAGTCAATAGCGGCGGATACGAGAAATGCAGGATATCATCACGCACCCACATGCCATGCCACTACGCGCACCCACGAGCACGCACGCGCAGCCACGCTATCCATGGCACTCACATGCCAACGACATGCTGCGGCACGGTTGTGGAGCAGATGATCCCCATCCACTTATCGTCGCAGGCGTCGCCCTTCCAGCTGGCGAACAGCGCCGCAGGACTCATGAATGCCTTCATGCCGAGTAGAGCCGCGTCTGGGGGTGCGCGAAAGGTGCGCCGGAGAAGGCATCATGGGGGGACGGGGAAGAGGGGATATTTGGGATGGTAAGAGGGAAGATGCTGAGAGGGAAGAAGCGGGCAGTGGACGGGGCGCGCTGAGGAGGGAGGTTGAGTGAACCATGAGAGGACGGACATGAACGGGGATGGAAACGTAGTGAAAATACGATTTGGCTCCAGGTAATCGATGACTAAAAAAGCACCAAGTAGCACAGCACTGAGCCCGCTCTTAGACCCAATGCAACACGGCAACGACAGGCATTTATTTAAGAAACAATCAATGTGGTTCTCGTCGGTCTCGTTCCGGCTGCTAAGTTATGGACCCTCGCTCGTGAGGGATAAAGACGCTTAAATGCTGGAAGCGGAGTCGGTTAGATTACGCTGGAGACTCTCACAGACTCTCCCTTTCAAACCGCTGCTTGCGCTTCTATCACGGATTATCAAAACCGGAGACCTCTCTCCGTATGGACGTTAGGATTCTATCGCGTGGAAAGTGGAGAACAGTTGTGCGCGCTGCGCGCGGCACTTACTCTCTGTTGGAGTGGTTGCGGCTTCAACCCGCCCAGTCAGGCCCCATATGCTGCTGCTAACACACAGCGCCGCGAGTAAGAGAAGGTTGCGCATCGACGCGCATTGCATTGCCATGGCTTTATCGCCAGAACCGCACAAACGGCCGGCTCTTAAATGTCTACCTAGCATAGACGGGTTTGCGACAAGACGAGGCCCGAGGTTTGAACGAGTTAGTTTCGCGAGCCTATTCTAGATCGAGGGAGTTAGTATGAGCCCTAACTGCACGCTAAGTTAGGGTGGTGGTGATTAGTCGAAAATGACATGAAAGGCATCAGGCCGAGGCGAGAAGTTATGGTTGATAGTGGATCGTCGAGAGACAAAAGCGACGGGCATGGACGGGTATATTCACCAGCACGAGCATAGTCAAGAGATGGCACAAGCGCGCGATGCCGTGCCTTACGCACGCCTCGAGAGGGAGGAAGGGAGGGTGGATGGCCGGGGGCTGACGTGTGAATAGCTGGACACGCAACCGGAGACTATTACGAGAGTTGGGCATAGGCACAGGAACGCCAACTACGGACGGGCTCACCCAGAATGGGTGCGTTTGGGTTGGGGAAAGTCGAATGCGCATCACCACGATGCGAGAAATTGTGCCGCCGCTCAATGAGGTGGAATTGGGAAACGTGCAAAACCTGGCGGGAATTCTACGCGAGTCGCGGAATTAGGAGGTTCGTGAGTGTGTAATTGCGACGCGGGTATTGGCCACATGCCCCGCACATCCGCCGCGGTGCCAAGCCAAAGGAAGGTTGGAAGGTTCGGCGGGCATTGCTACTTGACCAGTGAGACGTGCCCCATTTGCCTTCACGTTCGGCGCGCAAATGACGGTTCACCACAGCAGCTTTGGTTCGGAGGGCAACCGAACGGCCTGGTGAGGTGCGTTTTGGGTCAAACGTCTCGCCCGCAAAGTCTCTTGGGAGGTTCGGCTCGGATTTGAAAGTGCACGAAGCTGATCGTTAGCCGCAAAAAGTACCCTGATCCTATAGCGAATACCCACCGACGCTTGCTCACAGGACAATACGCGATGTATCAATATCTCGTTAGCGCTTAACTGAGGCAGAGATATTGAGTTGAGATTTTAAAAGGTCATTTATGGTATACTGCATAACAAAACATTCCGATGTGTCCATCTCTTAATCCTTAATCCCAGGTCTACAGCTCCACTCTTCCCAACCGCTTGCACCACTTAAACCTACCGTAATCACCCAGAACTTGCCCATCTTGGCCTTCCTGCCGTTTTCTTGGACCAACACATAAATCACCCCCTTCTGAAGAAGCACTGAGCCAAAACTATGGAAACCTCCCACCAGATATCATATTAGGGCCGTGTATGAACCATGACCCATGATGCCAGGCTCAGATACCATGATCCATCCACCTTCAGCACAACCCATCCAAGGAGGAGCGCAAGTGCCACCAATGCACAACGCACCTCTCATCCTGCTTAGCATCACATGCTCTTTCCTTTTTTGGTCACTCACTCACACCATACCCCAGCTGAAAGCTTCCCTACTTCCCTAGATCATTCCCAGGAAGCACAGCAAGAGCTGCCTGTCACTGCCACCGCACCACATCACATCGCAGCGCATCCCGTCGCATCTCGCCACATTCCATGGCACCACATCGCACCACACCACACACATGCACTTAGAACTCTGTGTTGTAATCCTTGGACGAAAACGGCAGGCCCAGGCGCGTGAGCCACTTCTTATACGCCCCTGACAAAGAAAACCACGTCCCTTCCTCCTCATCATCATCCGCATCCCCCATCACCTCTCCACACTCCTTGCAACACCTTCCTTCCCACCCACCACCACCATCTCTACCTCCCGACCCTGCTAGCCCCCCATCCAAACGCCCATACAACCCGCGACCTGCTACACCTCCTCCTCCTCCTCCTCCTCCTCTTCCTCCCCCCTTTCCTCCCCCAGTTCCTCCACCCTCCCCACCTTCTCCCCTTCCGCCTCCCTTCCCTCCTCCCCCGTTTCCACCGCGCATTCTACTCCACATACCGTACAGCTGCTGCTGCTCAGCAGCAGGCATGGTCAGCACCAACTCGTTAAAGCCAAACAACATAATAGCCCGCTCTTCCGAGTCTATTTCCACGCCGCACATGCGGAACCCCGGGTCCGCTGTGGGGAATGACCCTGGCGCTGCTCCTGCAGAAGGGGATGGCTCGAGCAGTGACGGCGACGCGTGAATCCCTGCTGCTGCTGGCGATGCTGCTGCTGCTGCTGCTGCTGCTGCTGCTGCTGCTGATGCTGCTGCTGCTGCTGCTGCTGCTGCTGCTATGCCTGCTGCTGCTCCTGCAGCTGCACTTTCCCCGAGACCAATCCCAGCAGTTGCTGGGCCGAGAAGTGGAGAAACAGTCACGCCGCCGCCGCCGCTGCTGCTGCCAGAACGGGTGATGGCGGCAGCAGTTGCAGTGCGAGAGAGAGAATTCCAGTCACTGATGGAATCCACACCAGGAGAGGAGGCAGAGCCTGAGAGGGAGAGAGACACTGGCATGTGCCCGGAGGACGGAGATGCAATGGTGGTACCAGACAGAGACGGGGGAAGCGGAGCAAAGGAAACCGAGGAGGAGAATGAAGAGGCAGAGGGCGAGAAGGAGGAGGAGGGGGAGGAGGAGGAGGAGCAGGGGCACCAGGGCGCGTGTGGGTTCCGGGGGGGTTTCACGGCATTAGGGTTGGGCACGGTGTGGCAGGCGAGGGCCATGACTCGCAACCAGAGGCGAGCAAAGGAGGTGCGCAGGTCCGGGTTTACCACGAGACGCTTTGCCACTAGTGCTCCCATTGTGCCCAGCACTGCTACCTGCACTATGTGCAGCTCTGCATCTGCTGCTATTCCTGCCGCTGCTGCTGCTGCTGATGATGATCCTGCTGTTCCTGCTGAGCCTGCTGTTCCTGCTGCTTCGGGCTTTCTTTCTCGCTCTATCTCTGACATGTGTCCCTCGTCCTCAAACTCACCCCTTACTGAAACGGTCACACCATCCCTCGATTTCACTGATCCCACTGCTCTTACTGCCTTACCCTCCCCTTTTCCCTCCTGCCTTCCGTCCACCCCATCCCCAACCCCCCCACCCTTCTCCCCCTTCCCCTCCTTCTCCCTCCGCCGCTTCGCCTCCAGCCGCCGAACCGCCCGCAGAGCCTCGGCCCGAACCTCTCTCCACTGCTTCTGCTGCCGGCACCACTGCAACACCTCCCCCACAAACTCATGATCTGTCGCTAACCACTTAAACACCTCGTCTGCCAATCCATGCTCCAGCATCAAACCCACAAGCCAAGTCAACGAGCCGTCCTTACCATATACTGAATCAGGCAATGAAGGGGATGAAGGGGGTGGCGGGACAAGCATGCGAAGCCAGTCCTTCTCTTCCTTCTCTTCCTTTTCTTCCTCCCCACCTCCTCCCATGCCCGCTTCTTTCTCTGCAGTCATTCCCTCTTCTCCTCCTCCTCGTCCTTGTTTTCCCTTCCCTCCATCCACCCCTCCCACCTCTCTGCCAGCCGACCCTCCCAACCCTCTTCCCTCCCTTCCTCCTCCACTTTTCCCTCGCCCTTCCCCTCCCCCTCCTCCCTCTCCTCCCCCTCCTGCTGCTCCCCCCGAGCTGAATTGAGAGCGAGGGGGGAAGAGCGATCTTGTGCGGGTTAACCCACGTCGGCCCGAATTCCCAACACTCCCACCCTCCGCCTCTCTTCCCCTCGTCTTCCCCTTTCCCTCTCCCCCTTTTCCCGTGCCCTCTCCTCCCCCCACCCTTCCGCCCCGTTCTGTGCCCCCTGCTGCCATGCCACCACCCCTGCCGCTCCCACTCCCACTCCCGCTGCCGCTGCCACTCCCCCTGCCGCTGCCGCTACCACCGCTGCTGCGGTCAAGGTCCGGAAACAAGTGGTCCGCATGCAGAGAACCAGAATTCGGAAACTCTTGCCCTCTCGCCTTTCCTGGATTATTCACGGATTCAGGGTTGAGCGACCTGGTTCGTCGCAGCGGGGCGGCCGCACGCCGGACGGCCTTTTTGGCCTGTTGCTGCGACCACACGGCCTGTAGCAGATCCACGAATGCTTGCTTCAGCAGGGCCCGATTGCTGCGGCGGCTCAGCATTGGGGGGGTGTTGTTACGCAGTAACGCGGTTACCGCGTCCCGGCACTCGCGCATGCCGCCCCTAGGGCAGATGCTTGGGATCGAGGAGGCTTGGGCGGCAGAGGAGGAAGAAGAGGAGTGGGGGAAGGGGGAGTGGGAGGAGTGGGAGGAGTGCGGAGGAACGTGAGAAGGGGGGTGAGAAGCAGAAGCGGGAGGGAGGCCTCCTCGTGGCTTGGGGAGGGGAGGAGAGAAGGAAAAAGAATTGCCAGCAGTGCCAGCAGCGGCAGAAGCAGCGGCAGCCAGAGTAGTGGATGGGAGGCGATGGGCCATAGATAGGGGTGAAACAGGAGGTACGTCGTAGTTAAAGCCAGGGGTAGGACCGGAAGAGAGCGAACGAGGAGAGGAGCAGGTGGCTGCAAGAACAGCAGCAGCTTCGGCGGCAGCCGCTGCCGCAGCAGCAGCATCCTCAGGACTGACTGCCTCGTTACAAGATAAACCCCTCTGTAGAAGCACGCGAACTGCGGCTGTAACTGCTTCCTCTTCCAGGAGGTTTTTCACGGGCAGGCGGTCCAAAACCGGGCGGGCGTCAGGCAGCTGAAGGACCGACAGCAGCCGCACCACTCCCAACTGCTCCTCCTCGCTCCACGGCACGGATTCGAGGAAATCCACGCATGCTGACGTGGCGGCGTGGAATTGGAGGTCCGCGGCGGCGACGAGCATGTCGAGCACGCGCCAGATGGATCCAACGGCCACGATTTCATCTAGAATGGTCGGCTCGTGATAGAAAAGACGGAGGGTGAATACGTAGGCTTCAGGATGGGAAACCAAGTCGCTAACCCTCACAGACACACGACCCAGGTGGGAGGGAGTGGGGGGATGAGAGGATGTGGGGGGGTGGGAGGGAGGGAGTGGGTGGGAGCGGGGGGTGGTGGAGGCGGAGGAAGAGGAGGAGGAGGAGGAGGAGGAGGGAAGGGAGTGGGTGGTTGGGAAAGGAGCCTCGCGGTTGGTGCTGTGGCAGGTGTTGCTGCTGCTGCTGGTACTGCTGCTGGTGGGGGTGGTGGGGTTGTTGGTGATGGTGGTGTGGGTTGTGTGCAAGCAGGTCTAGAGACCTCCTAGCTGCTCCTCCCCCGTCGCCTGAGAGGTTATCCTGGTGCTCCCAGGGAGGTCGAAGAGAGAGTGACGGGGAGGGCGGAAGCGGGGAGTGAGACGCACCGCCTCCCCCCCCTCCTCCTGCTGCGTTTCTGTGCGTGCTTGCAGCAGCAGCGGCAGCGGTGGCACCCTGAGCAGCAGCAGTGCCCGCTGCTCTAGTGGGCCGACGTGGCAGAGCAGAGAAGAAGAAATCCGATTGCTCTCGGAGCACCTGGGAGTGCATGGCGATAGACGCGTGCAGCGACCCGTCACGCGCGAACACGTCCACGCGGATGTCTGACGTGGCAGGGTCGTCGAATATCAGTGTATCGGTCAGCGGCTGACGTGGCAGCACGACGACCGTCTCGCCCCCTTCCCCCCGATACCACTCGCAAGTCGCCTCCGCCATCCCCGCTGCCCCGGCTCCGCCTCCGCCTCCGCCTCCGCGCTTCCCCCCCGCGCGCGCCTGAAGCCCCCCCGCCTGCTGAAGGTTCTGACTCGCGGTCCCTGCCCCTCCCCCTCCCACTCCCCCTCCCCCTGCGGACGGCTTCCCCACCGCCCCTGCGCGCAGGGCTCCGCGGACTCCCCCAAAGAATCCCCCGCTCCCCTCTCCAGCTCCGGCGGGGGAGTTTCCCCCAATGGTTCCCCCACCGCCTCCCCCGAAGCCGCTCCCCCCGGCACCCGCGCGCCCTAGGCTGGGAACCATACTCATGCTTCTCCCCCAGGACTTTTCCCCCCCGTGCGCCCCCGCGCCTGCTCCCCCTTCCGCGCCATCTCCCCCGAACCCCATCCCGCGCATCCGCTCCAGGTCCAGCGATGCGGTGTGGCGGCCCCCGCGCACACCCGCTCCGCCGACTCCTGCGGAAGGCGGAAACGGGTGGCGAGATGGAGGCATAAGATCTAACCGGATGCGCTCGGCGGAAGAACCGCCGGGAGGCGCGGCGGATGCGCCGCCGGAAAACACGGAGGGATGGCCGGAGGGGGGCGTGAAGGAGGAGGGGGAGGACGAGGCGGAAGAAGAGGCGGACGCGGAGGAAGACGGGCGCGAGGAGCGCGCATCGTGCGCGGGGGCCGGCGGAGCTCCGGCGGAAGGTGCGCGGAAATCCATGAGGATCGCCGCAGTTCCGCCAGCCCCAGCTCCGCCGCTTCCCCCCGGCCTGTCGCTGAGCGCCGCGTCACCAGCATTAGCGGGTTTCCCGCCGGTGGAGCCGCTGTTTAGGATTCGCGACATGGAATACATGGCGCCTTGTGATTGGTTGGATGCGTCCTCTGAATCGCAGGAGGAGGAAAACAAGGACGGAAGACCGCTGTTTAGACTAGAAGATACGTATATATATAGTCGGCCATCGTGCTGTGGTTGAGCGATCCCGCTTAGCGCGGAAGTCAGTAACGGATCACGGCGTCGCGGCGCTTTCGGGGTAACAACGCCGCCGCGCGCCACGTCATCACGGCGATCGGAACCCAATGCGGATGTCGCTTGAGCGGTACGGACGGCGCTCCGTGCAGCTGTAACTGCGCAAACGTGATTCGTTCAAGGTTGCGTCCGACAGATGATGGTCGAAGTTTACCGTCAGACGACGTTCAACGCCTTAGGGTTACGTGCTGCTGCAGCAGGATACAGAGCGGCAGCAGCAGCGACGGCAGCGGCAGCGGCAGCGGCAGCGGCGAATAGAGTGAAAGACAGACCGTCGTCTTTTTGAGAGCAAAATTAATAAAAACGCGTCGCCCCTTCGGTTGCCATGTGTTGGCTCTCAAAGGTCGAAACGGGTATAAATATTGCAACACCCTGAATACGGCACTGCAATGCCAGTGCTGAAGGCAGCCTAGCACCGTAGCGGATTGCGGCGGGAGTTTTTATGGAGTGGGAAAAAAGAAGGGCGGATTAGCAGATTAGGTAAGGACCCATACCTCCAATGGGTGTGCGATACGTTAAGGTGCGGTTGGTTACGGTGCGCGATAATTTGTTAGAACCTCTCATCTGTGCGTCACCCCTTTCGACCGTGGAGAACCAGAGCGTATATTTGGCACCTGTCACACAGAATGAACGTGCCCCAGATAATTACGGTACCAAACGGTGCTGTGCGTCAAGCGGGGAAGCGTACGGAAAAGTGCCATCGATGCACGCTACAGTACCGCGGACGGGCAAGGGGAAAGGGAGAGGGCAGGGAAGGGGGAGCGGGAGTGGAGTGGAGACACCAGGGGAAGTGGCGTGGGCGGAAAACGAAAAGAGTGAGGTCGGGTGGGCGGCGCGCTTACTCACTACGGAGCTTCTCAGAGGAAGATATTCAACATCAATAATGGAACCAAACCTTTGTGAACTATATCCCCATGCGTGTAAAATATCCAATTTTTTTCGACCACACCTGGTCTGAACTTTAACAGACCCGTCCAACACAAATGGTCAATTGTAATTCATTTTAAAATGAGCTATGTACACAGCTCAATCATTGGGAGGTGGACTCAGAGTTCCTTACACCTCCAGAGGAACGGATGAGAGCAAGCAGTTGGCCTGTAAGCAAAGGCACCAATTCATCCCTATTGCTCTGCGACACCTCCACTATGGAAACATCTGGACGGGCGCGAATAGCTGCCACTGCAAGGAGGCGGGGGGGGGGGTAGGAGAAACAAATAGGCAAAAATTCAGTTGACTCAACAGGCACCAAGCCAAGCCGTCCTTATCGCTGCGCAACACTTTCACTATGGACACATCTGGTCCAGCATGGATAACTGCCACTGCAAGGAGGCCGGGGAATAGGTGGGAGCAACAAATGGTCAAGTTTATAGTCGACTCAACAGGCAATAAGCAGTCCCTGTTGCTGTGCGGAACTTCCGCTATGGAAAAATCTGGACGGACGGGCACGAATGGAAGCCACTGCGAGGCAGAGAAGTCTGTAGGAGCAACAAATGGGCATGCACAGGGAAGTTGAAGGTTACGTGAGCGGTGGTGGGAGGTCGAATAACATTTGCTGCTGTGCAGTGTCCACACCACAACCCGTGCGCAACAAACACCCCCCACCCAGCTGCTCCTGCAGCCCCGCATAACGCGGTCTTTTAATGCATGCCAGAACAAAACAGAGGTGTGACACGCCTAACTAGTCAGCCATGACATCATACCTTGAGGCAAGTCCTTCCCATGCGTGGGCACAGGGATGGAGGCGAGGAGGGGCAAAGGCGCGTCCAGCAGGGCAGTGACGGCAGCAGCAAAGCGGGTGGACAGCAGCTCCATCTTTCCAATCTCGTCCACCACCCACAACGTGCCATGTGCACTGCTGTTGCTGCTGCTGCTGACATCGGCACGAGATGCTGCTTCTGGTGGTGTTGCTTCTGGGGATTGTGATTCTGTTCGTGATTGTGATTGTAATTGTGATTGTGACTGTATGGATGGGGCTGTTGGCTGGGGTGGAGCGAGTGAGGAAGAGGTCAAGGATGGCAGCGGCGCAGAGGCGAGGGAGAGAAGCGGCAGCACACGAAGGTCAACAGAAGCAACATCGACAGTGTACTTGCCAACACGCCCCCATCTCCCACTCCCACTGCTCCTCCTGTCCTCTTCAGCTGCCGTGCTGGTGTGGAGAGGGGAAGGGAAGTCTGATGGGAGAACGCGAGCGAGAGCCACTCGTGCGCCCTCCATTGTGACTATGTCGAAGCCAAATCGCTCGCCGTCTCTCCGCAACTCCTCTGGAAAGGGGCAACAAGGGGGTTGTGTGGCGAGCGACAGGTTGAAAACGAAGTGTGCGCATGGCTTATGGGGGTGAATGGAGAAGTGTGGAGTTGTGTGGGGTTGTGGTGTAACGTTTGATCACGTGATGCACCTGTAGTGAACCCTCGGAGGGTAAGAGAAGGAATGGCCTCCTTCACTCGCTCCATAACGCGTATGATCAGCGTAGTCTTTCCCACGCCCTGCGCACCAAACTCCTCCGAGTTATTAATCGATAAGTGACCGGAAAAAACGGAATATACTCCTTGTCAGAGCAAGACGCCGCGCATGCCACGGCACGCCACGTCATGCATAACGTGCCATGTCACGCCGCATCTACGTCTTTTCCATGAAACGAGGGGGCCATGCACCACCATGCGATAGGAGAGGCCACTTCTACTTACAGGTGGGCCTGTAACAAGGACATTCATCATAGCAAAAATAAGGCGGAATAAACAGGAGGCGGCGTCTCGGCGGTGGCGGCGAAATTTACGAGTAGAATTCGCAAGGAATATCAAAAGCACGCATGTAAATTCTCTTCTAAAGATGGACACTGAAATACCGAAGGCATGAAGGGTAAGAATTTCGAGCGTAGCCATTTCTCAAAGTTGATTCTGTGGTGTGTCAAAAACTTCGCTAACGTTCGAAAACGCTAAACACAGCTGGCGATTTCTCCTGTTACCAAAGGAACAAGAACAAACAAACAAACAAACAAACAAACAATGAAACAACAAACAAACAAACAAACAAAAATGACACAAGTTGCACAAGTTGCATGAAATGTAAAAATTTCAAAGTGTGTAACACTTTTCAAAATTGTGTATTGTGAATAGCGAAGCGAATTGTACCGAGAGATGAAATGAGACGTTGCATTTGCAAGGCAAATCGCAAGCTTTCACAATTTCAGTTTTGAGGTGGAGTAAGAATGACATAAATGTGTGCAACAAACAATGAATAACAAGCCTGATGCTGCTAGTTCGGTCAAGAGTAGAAACTGCAAACAAGTATTCAATTTGAAAGCTACTTACAATGGCGATAATTAAGTGGCTATCAGTCCATACGCGAAAGCTCATCATAAACAGCATCAGCGCCATCAAAACCACCAATACTAGCACCATCAACACCAGAGGCTGGAGCATCAGCAGCAAGTGAAGATCTACGTTCTCCTCCATTAACAGTCGCAACAGCAGCAGTGGCAGTGGGAGCAGCAATGGTAGTGGCAGTGGCAGCAGCAGCAGGAGCGGCAGGAGCGGCAGGAGTGGTGGGTGGGATGGCATGTGGGGCGTGAGTGGTAGGAGAGGAGGATGATTCAGACTTGGCAGAGAAGCCAGGAGGGCAGTAGATCTTGAGTGGGTGCTCTGGGAAGAACAGTGTGTCTGTAAGCAGGCAGCAGACAGAGGAGTGGGGGGAGGAGGAGGGAGAGGAGGGGGGTGGAGGAGAGGGGAGAGGAGGAAGGGAGAGAGGGGGGGGGAGAGGGAGGAAAGGAGCAGAGGAGGGGAATAAGGGAGGGAAAGGAGGCAAGGGTGTCAGGGGGGGATGTGGGGTTTTGAGGCTGATGTGCTTGAAGGCGGATTGAGGAGTCTATGAGTAAGACAAATGAGTTGTTAAATGATAGGGAAAGAGGGGAGAAAGGGGAAGAGTGGAGAGCAAGGGAAAGGGGTTGGGGAAGGGGAGTGGGGGGGAGAGGAAGAGAGAGGGGAGAGGAAGAGGGGAAGGGGGCAAGTGAGGGTGGGGGGGGGGGGGGGGGGGGGGATGAAGCGAGGAGGTCTTAGAGGGAGGGTACCTCGTCGCTTGGTGGTGATGTGCAGCGTGTCGAGGTTGATCAGCCCATCTACCAGTGGCACCAGCTCACAGCGCACCTCCGATGTGCCCAGCGCGTTTTGAGTCACCTCAACACACACCTGGAAAGGGGACCTACCTCGTCGCTTGGTGGTGATGTGCAGCGTGTCGAGGTTGATTAGCCCATCCACCAGCGGGACCAGCTCACAGCGCACCTCCGATGTGCCCAGCGCTGGCACCTTGCTGGCAGATGCGCACAGGGGGGGTGGGAGGGAGGACGGAGGGAGGCACGCAAAAGACAGCGAGAGAGGTTGGGATTTGAGGCGACTTATAGGCCAGATCACAGCGCACCTCCGATGTGCCTAGCGCCGGCACCTTGCAGGCAGTGGCACAGAAGAAAAGGAAAGGGAAGGGGAGTTGAAGGGATGGGAAGTGCAAGGGCAGGACGCACAAGGAGGGATTCGAGAGGGGGTGATGTTCATTTAAGGCAGCAGCGAGCCCAGACACCTTGCTGGCACGTTTTGAGTCATACTCAAATTCTGAGTCGACTAAAAATTCGTTTGAGGCAGCAGCGAGTCCAGGCACCTTGCTGGCAGCAGCACAGGAGGTGTGGGTGGGAGAAGAGAGAAGGCTAGGGGCAAGGGAGGAGTATAGGAAAGAAGGACGGGGACGAAAGCGGGAACGTGCATGCGGAGAGGGATTTGGGGGCGATGGTACAGTGCTATTGGAGAGAAGGACCGAGGGTGCACAACAGGAAACAGCAGGGCATGCAGCGCAGAATGGCAAGGAATGAACGCAGCGAGTCAACAATGGGGAAAGCAAGAATCAAGGAAGCGGAAAGAGGGGAACGGGGTGGGGAGGTTGCGGGGTGGAAGAGTGGTAGTGAGGGGACTAGAAAAGGAGTGAGAAGGCTGGGAAGAGTGAGAAGCGTGGGAAGACAAAACGGAGATGTGGCTTCTAAGGGAGGTGAAGGGAGGTGAATCAGCTGACCCCATGGGAACGACAGACTGCAGCCAGAGATGCGTCCTGTGAGGCACATGCATGGCCACCAATTCCGCTGCCGACACACTCCTCTCCCCTCCCTCCCCTCCCGCTCCCCCTCCCGCTCCCCCTCCTGATCCTGACGCCGAAACCGGCAGGTTCTGAGGAGCCCCCTCGCCTATGCTGCCGCTGGTGCTGATGCCCTGGGGTTTGGAGGCTGAGGGATCGGAGGAGAGCGAGGGGAGCGGCTTGGGGTGCAGGGAGCGGTTGCGGAGGAAGTCAGGGAGAAGGAGCGATCTGGAGCCATCAGGGGGGTCCTGGAGAGAGGAGAAGGGGGAGAAATGAGTGGGGGGAAGAGGGGGGGGGGGGACAAGTGAGGGGACTATGGCTGCGGAGGAAGTCGGGGAGAAGGAGAGATCTGGAGCCGTCAGGAGGGTCCTGGAGGGGGATAAGTGAGGGGAATGGGGGATAAGTGAGGGGAATGGGGGATAAGTGAGGGGAATGGGGGATAAGTGAGGGGAATGGGGGATAAGTGAGGGGAATGGGGGATAAGAGAGGGGAATGGGGGATAAGTGAGGGGAATGGGGGATAAGTGAGGGGAATGGGGGATAAGTGAGGGGAATGGGGGATAAGTGAGGGGAATGGGGGATAAGTGAGGGGAATGGGGGATAAGTGAGGGGAATGGGGGATAAGTGAGGGGAATGGGGGATAAGTGAGGGGAATGGGGGATAAGTGAGGGGAATGGGGGATAAGTGAGGGGAATGGGGGATAAGTGAGGGGAATGGGGGATAAGTGAGGGGAATGGGGGATAAGTGAGGGGAATGGGGGATAAGAGAGGGGAATGGGGGATAAGTGAGGGGAATGGGGGATAAGTGAGGGGAATGGGGGATAAGTGAGGGGAATGGGGGATAAGTGAGGGGAATGGGGGATAAGTGAGGGGAATGGGGGATAAGTGAGGGGAATGGGGGATAAGTGAGGGGAATGGGGGATAAGTGAGGGGAATGGGGGATAAGTGAGGGGAATGGGGGATAAGTGAGGGGAATGGGGGATAAGTGAGGGGAATGGGGGATAAGTGAGGGGAATGGGGGATAAGTGAGGGGAATGGGGGATAAGTGAGGGGAATGGGGGATAAGTGAGGGGAATGGGGGATAAGTGAGGGGAATGGGGGATAAGTGAGGGGAATGGGGGATAAGTGAGGGGAATGGGGGATAAGTGAGGGGAATGGGGGATAAGTGAGGGGAATGGGGGATAGTGAGGGGAATGGGGGATAAGTGAGGGGAATGGGGGATAAGTGAGGGGAATGGGGGATAAGTGAGGGGAATGGGGGATAAGTGAGGGGAATGGGGGATAAGTGAGGGGAATGGGGGATAAGTGAGGGGAATGGGGGATAAGTGAGGGGAATGGGGGATAAGTGAGGGGAATGGGGGATAAGTGAGGGGAATGGGGGATAAGTGAGGGGAATGGGGGATAAGTGAGGGGAATGGGGGATAAGTGAGGGGAATGGGGGATAAGTGAGGGGAATGGGGGATAAGTGAGGGGAATGGGGGATAAGTGAGGGGAATGGGGGATAAGTGAGGGGAATGGGGGATAAGTGAGGGGAATGGGGGATAAGTGAGGGGAATGGGGGATAAGTGAGGGGAATGGGGGATAAGTGAGGGGAATGGGGGATAAGTGAGGGGAATGGGGGATAAGTGAGGGGAATGGGGGATAAGTGAGGGGAATGGGGGATAAGTGAGGGGAATGGGGGATAAGTGAGGGGAATGGGGGATAAGTGAGGGGAATGGGGGATAAGTGAGGGGAATGGGGGATAAGTGAGGGGAATGGGGGATAAGTGAGGGGAATGGGGGATAAGTGAGGGGAATGGGGGATAAGTGAGGGGAATGGGGGATAAGTGAGGGGAATGGGGGATAAGTGAGGGGAATGGGGGATAAGTGAGGGGAATGGGGGATAAGTGAGGGGAATGGGGGATAAGTGAGGGGAATGGGGGATAAGTGAGGGGAATGGGGGATAAGTGAGGGGAATGGGGGATAAGTGAGGGGAATGGGGGATAAGTGAGGGGAATGGGGGATAAGTGAGGGGAATGGGGGATAAGTGAGGGGAATGGGGGATAAGTGAGGGGAATGGGGGATAAGTGAGGGGAATGGGGGATAAGTGAGGGGAATGGGGGATAAGTGAGGGGAATGGGGGATAAGTGAGGGGAATGGGGGATAAGTGAGGGGAATGGGGGATAAGTGAGGGGAATGGGGGATAAGTGAGGGGAATGGGGGATAAGTGAGGGGAATGGGGGATAAGTGAGGGGAATGGGGGATAAGTGAGGGGAATGGGGGATAAGTGAGGGGAATGGGGGATAAGTGAGGGGAATGGGGGATAAGTGAGGGGAATGGGGGATAAGTGAGGGGAATGGGGGATAAGTGAGGGGAATGGGGGATAAGTGAGGGGAATGGGGGATAAGTGAGGGGAATGGGGGATAAGTGAGGGGAATGGGGGATAAGTGAGGGGAATGGGGGATAAGTGAGGGGAATGGGGGATAAGTGAGGGGAATGGGGGATAAGTGAGGGGAATGGGGGATAAGTGAGGGGAATGGGGGATAAGTGAGGGGAATGGGGGATAAGTGAGGGGAATGGGGGATAAGTGAGGGGAATGGGGGATAAGTGAGGGGAATGGGGGATAAGTGAGGGGAATGGGGGATAAGTGAGGGGAATGGGGGATAAGTGAGGGGAATGGGGGATAAGTGAGGGGAATGGGGGATAAGTGAGGGGAATGGGGGATAAGTGAGGGGAATGGGGGATAAGTGAGGGGAATGGGGGATAAGTGAGGGGAATGGGGGATAAGTGAGGGGAATGGGGGATAAGTGAGGGGAATGGGGGATAAGTGAGGGGAATGGGGGATAAGTGAGGGGAATGGGGGATAAGTGAGGGGAATGGGGGATAAGTGAGGGGAATGGGGGATAAGTGAGGGGAATGGGGGATAAGTGAGGGGAATGGGGGATAAGTGAGGGGAATGGGGGATAAGTGAGGGGAATGGGGGATAAGTGAGGGGAATGGGGGATAAGTGAGGGGAATGGGGGATAAGTGAGGGGAATGGGGGATAAGTGAGGGGAATGGGGGATAAGTGAGGGGAATGGGGGATAAGTGAGGGGAATGGGGGATAAGTGAGGGGAATGGGGGATAAGTGAGGGGAATGGGGGATAAGTGAGGGGAATGGGGGATAAGTGAGGGGAATGGGGGATAAGTGAGGGGAATGGGGGATAAGTGAGGGGAATGGGGGATAAGTGAGGGGAATGGGGGATAAGTGAGGGGAATGGGGGATAAGTGAGGGGAATGGGGGATAAGTGAGGGGAATGGGGGATAAGTGAGGGGAATGGGGGATAAGTGAGGGGAATGGGGGATAAGTGAGGGGAATGGGGGATAAGTGAGGGGAATGGGGGATAAGTGAGGGGAATGGGGGATAAGTGAGGGGAATGGGGGATAAGTGAGGGGAATGGGGGATAAGTGAGGGGAATGGGGGATAAGTGAGGGGAATGGGGGATAAGTGAGGGGAATGGGGGATAAGTGAGGGGAATGGGGGATAAGTGAGGGGAATGGGGGATAAGTGAGGGGAATGGGGGATAAGTGAGGGGAATGGGGGATAAGTGAGGGGAATGGGGGATAAGTGAGGGGAATGGGGGATAAGTGAGGGGAATGGGGGATAAGTGAGGGGAATGGGGGATAAGTGAGTGGGGGATAAGAGAGAGGAAGGGGAGACAAGAGAAAGGAAGGTGGTTTGTGGTTGCGGAGGAAATCGGGGAGAAGAGCGATCTGGAGCCGTCAGGGGGGTCCTGGAGGAAGGGAAATGGGGGATGAGTGAAGGAGTGGGGGGGTAAGAGGGAGGAAACGGGGACAGGAGAGATACGAGAGGGAGAGGTGAGAATTGAGGTCCCCAGTGCACAAAGTGGTTGCAGAGACAGGAAGAGTTGGACAGGAGACGGGGAGGAGTTGGAAGAAGGAACAGGGTTGGAGGATTTGAGGGGTGGGAGAGAGAGCGACAAAAGGGACTAGACAGGCAGGGAAATTTTACCGAATTATTCCTAAACCCTAGTCTATTCACGCACCAGAGTGGCAGCAAGGGAAGAATTCTTGAACACTCGCAGCGGCGACATGGGAGGGGAGAGCCCCTCCTCGTCCTCACTCCCCTCCTCCCCGCCCTGCCCCTGCCCCTGCTGCGGCTGGTCCAGCAGCGAAGGATCCGTGGTGGGATCGGCAGTGAGGAGATTGGAGGAGTGGCGCGGGGAGGTGGGGAAGCAGACGCGCGAGAGGGAGGTTGCGGCGAGGGTAGTGGGCGCGAGGAGCGTGAGGTTGAGGTCTGACGCTGTGAGGTTGGTCACTCGCACTCGCACGGTCTGAAAGGGAGGGAAGGGAGGGAAGGGAGGGAAGGCAGAGAGGAAAAGAAGGTGTGTTGTGGGTTGGTTCAGGGCACCCTGAGACTGAGGTTGGGGTCTGACGCTGTGAGGTTGGTCGCTCAAACTTGCACGGCCTGGATGACGGGGGAGGGAGAAAGAGGGAAAGGGTTGGGAAAGGGAAGGGCAGCCACATGCCATGGTGACGATGACTAAGAGGCTGAGGCTCGACACTTTGGAAAATCACAGCAGGAAATGCAGGATGCTGTGAAGGCTGGAAGTCAGAGCAGACTTTTGAGATAACTCGAGTATGCAGGATGGAGTGTGGGGTCGAAGAGAGAGCAGCAGTGGGACTGACCAGAGGCCTGGAGCACTGGCCAGAAGAGGGCGGAGCAGCAACGAGCGTGCCATCCGGGAGAGTGTGCACATGCGCGGAGGAGGCTGAGGCAGACGCGGCAGAGGAGGAGGCGGAGGAGGCAGTGGTATCGGTGGAAGCAGGGAGGATGGACGAGGAGGTTGAGGAGGTGGAGGAGGAGGAGATGTTGTCTGGGGAGATGGAGAGGAGCAGGTCCCGCGGGGGGCGTGGGCGCCATGCGAGAGGGTGACGGTACCGCAGCTGGGCAGCTGGTTGAAGGGGTAGGGTGGAATGCGGTGGATGTGGGGATGGGATGGGATGGGATGGGATGGGATGGGATGGGATGGGATGGGATGGGATGGGATGGGATGGGATGGGATGGTGTGGGTTAGGCAGAATGGGAAATTGAGCTAAGGGGAAGAACAAGCGAGAGATGAGCAACGAGATACGAACGACGAGAGATGAACACCCACGAACACCCTAAACAAACACCCATAAACAAACACCCATAAACAAACACCCATAAACAAACACCCATAAACAAACACCCATAAACAAACACCCATAAACAAACACCCATAAACAAACACCCATAAACAAACGCCCATAAACAAACACCCATAAACAAACACCCATAAACAAACACCCATAAACAAAAACCCATAAACAAAACACCCATAAACAAACACCCATAAACAGAAACCCATAAACAAACACCCATAAACAGAAACCCATAAACAAACACCCACAAACAAACACCCATAAACAAAAACCCATAAAAAAACACCCATAAACAAACACTCATACATGAACAAGAATCAGCTGTAATCCAGCCACAAACACACACCCGAGCACCCAAACGCAACAATTGCGGTCAGCCCAACCGAAGCTGTGTGCGAGCAACTGACCTCAGCCACAAACACACCCACACATGAGCACCAGGAAGCCCCAACCGCAATCCCCGACGGAAACCCAGCCCAGCCGCACCTGTGTGCGAGCAGCTGCAGCTGATGATGAGCGAATACTCGGGAGATGAATCCACCGGCATGTCCTCCCCCTCCGACTCCTCCTCCATAACCGCTGCCTTCTCCGTCAACCGCCCAAACGAGAACGCAGCCGCAAGCGAGTTGCTCGAGCCCTCGTTCCCTCCTCCTGTTAACGGCCCCCCTTTGGCGCTCCCCCCTCCGCCTCCTCCTGCTCCTCCCCCTCCGCCTCCTCCCCCGCCTGGTCGTCTGCCCCGCCCGCCTGCGTCCTTGCTTGCTCCGGAAGGGGCTTTGACGATCTGTGCGTTGCCGGAGCACTGCGGGGTGATGATGAACGAGTGCTGCTCGCCCGGCCTGGTTGGAGGAAGGGAGGAAGGAAGTAAGGAAGGGAAGGGTTGAACGCAGGGAGAGAAACAACTCCAGACTGTGCTCATGCTGATGCTGGTGCATACCCTGACAGGCTGCATCGCAACTCTTGAGAACCTCCTGAAACCCACAAAAGCACCCACCAACAACCCCCTCTCCCGCGCTGGCGCCCTCTCCCCACACCTCCTCACCCTCTTCCCCATACACACGCTGGAAAACAACAATCAAGCCCGCCTGTAGCATACAGGAGCAGCAGGCCCAGGAGGGGCTCCTTGCTGGAGCCCACCTTTTACCACTCCCCCAACCGCAACACGTACAGGCAGACCATGAGGGCAACAACGACCAAGCACACCCCACGGGCCCACGCCTGTTGCATACCGCAGGGGCAGGCCTGGGAGGGCCTCTTTGCTGGAGCCGCTCTCGAGGCGGGCGACGTGCACGGGGAGGGACTGCTGCAGCGACATGGACACTGACGACCGCGCCTCCAGACTGATGCTGTCCACGTAGAGAATCACGCCCGCTGTTGCCCCCTCACGCGGGAGAATGTTCTGCAGGCAGGGCGGACAAAGAGGGGGAGGGAAGGGTTGGCACTTGTGGGGCAGGGACTGCTGCAGCGACATGGATACTGACGAGCGCGCCTCCAAGCTGATGCTGTCCACGTAGAGAATCACGCCCGCTGTTGTTCCCTCCCGCGGGAGAATGTTCTGCGAGGGCAGAGCGGACAGAGGTGGGGGAGGGGGTGTTGGCACTTGTGGATGGTGCGACATGGAGACTGAGGAGCGCGCCTCCAGACTTATGCTGTCCACGTAGAGAATCACGCCCGCCGTTGCCCCCTCACCCAGGAGAATGTTCTGCGAGAGGAAAGGAGAGGAAAGGGAGGAGGGGTTGGCACAGAGGCGCAGACTAATCACCACAGACTGACGGGACGGGACAGGATGGGAGATGAAAACCGACTCACCTCAACCATAACGCAGATCACATCCTCATGCCCACACTCCGCCGTGTAGCTCTCCACACACAGCGGCTGCAGCACCCGCACGCCCCGCACCCACTTCCTCCCCGGAACAAACGGCCCCAGCCGACCGCAGTTCCCACTGAACCTCTGCGGCTCTAGAGGCACCCCTCGGAACGAGAGAAGCCCCTCCCACCCCACCGCGCCCGTCTCGTGCGTGCCCCACGCCAGCCCGCCTAGGACCGTCCCCCTCCGGCACCTCCCGCTCCCCCCGCGTCGTCTCGGAACGTGGAAGAGGTGCGTTTCTTGGGGGAATTGGACGGGGAATTCCCTGTTGTGGCAGCAGTGCTGACCGCTGCTAGGCCGGAGGAGGAAGAGGAGGCGGAAACGCGCGGGAGGGAGAGGGAGAAACCGACTGGAGTGCTAGGAGCGACCGAGGGGGTCGGGGGAGCGGCAGAGGTGAAGTTGAAAGCGGACGGGGTACCCCAGCCAGAGGTGGCGACTGCAGGGAGAGGGATGGCGGGTCTTGCTGCGGCAGCAGGGGACGGAGTGGTGGAGTTGGGAGGCAGGCGCTCCAAAGGAAAGAGCCAGAAGAGCAAATCTTGGGATTCTTCCAAGGACCCTGATACTGCTCCTGCTGCTCCTCCTCCTCCTCCTCCTCCTGCTGCTGCAGTAGCTGCTCCTGCTCCTGCTGTTGCTACACCATGGCCGCCGGCGGCAGCAGCAGGCATGGGGGAGATCGATTTCTCATGGTTTTCCGACCCGGGAGCAGAACCACCATCGGCAGAAGCAGCAGCAGCAGCGTCAGAATTATCGCCAGCAGCAGCAGCGGTGGCATCAGCAGCAGGGGCAGGAGCGGGTGGAGGGGCGGAGGGGGGTTCGAAGGGCATGGGGAAGCGCTCGAACTGGCGGATCTCGAGAGTGGCGTCGGGGATGAGCGCTGTGGTGGACACTGCGACCTCCAGCAGCACCTGTTGTTGCGATGCATGGGTGATGGACGGGACCATGGTTGATGTATGGGTGGGGTGTGCAGGTGGTAATAATAGATTTGGTTTGTTGCGTTTCAAAACGGGATCTCAAGAGTGGCGTCAGGGATGGGATGAGGGCTGTGGTGGACACTGCAACCTCCAGCAGCACCTGTTGTAATGCATGGGTGATGGACGGGTGATGCGTGGGTGATGCACGATTGATAGAAGTGAGGAGCGTGGGTGATGGAAGAGGAAATGAAAGAGGGAGAGGAGGGTGATGAGGGAGGGCTGTGGTGGACACTGCAACTTCTTCCCCTCCAACAGACAACGGAGGGATGGAAGGGATGTGAGGAATGGAATGCATGGGAGGGATGGGAGGGATGGGATGCATGGAGTACAGACGATGATATCCCCGCTGGGTAATGGTTGATGGAGGATGAGAGGGATCAAGAGGCAAGCATGGAGAGATGATGGAATACGAACCACTACGTCCCCTTTGGGTAGCGAAAAACAGTTGATGGAGGATGGAAAGAATGGGGAGAACGAGAGGGATCAAGAGGGAGGCATGAGAGAGATGACGGAGCACGAACCACGACGTCCCCGTTGGGTAGCGAGCTGGTGGAGACAACGCGCCTGCCCAGCCCTGCTGCTGTGTGTTGAGTCGACTCAAAAGACACAAGGAGAAAACAGAGCGAGGTACAGAGTAGAGTACTGACCACAACGTCCCCGTTGGGTAGCGAGCTGGTGGAGGAGAGCAACGCGCCTGCCTAGACCTACTGTGTTTTGAGCCGACTCAAAACACACAAGGAGGGAACAGAGCAAGGTACAGAGTAGTACGGACCACAACGTCCCCATTAGGTAGCGAGCTGGTGGAGACAACGCGCCTGCCCAGCCCTGCTGCTGTGTTTGGAGTCGACTCAAAACACAGAAAGAGGGAAGACAGAGAGAGGAAACAGAAGAGAGGCACAGAGTAGAATACTGACCACAACGTCCCCGTTGGGTAGCGAGCTGGTGGAGACAACGCGCCTGCCCAGCCCTGCTGCTGTGGCGGGGTCGTATCCTGCAATGTCCGCTGGCACTGGCATCACCCCATACGCACTCGGGGACTGCGCTGCTTCCCTCCCCGCCTGCTGCTGCTGCTGGTTGGGTGGCCTGGGGGAAGGAGAGCGGATGACGGGGGATGGGGAGAATGGGAGGGGGGGGGAGCGAGGGAGTTTGAGAAGGGGAGAATAACGCGAAGGAGAATAAATTGAGGGAGAATGGCGAGGGAGAGTGGGAGGGAGGGAGGGAGGGAGGGAGGGGGGAAAGGGGGTTGGGGAAGGAGAGATGGAGCGAGGATGAGTGGAGTGGAGAGGGAAGAGATAGGGTAGAGAGGACGAGGCAACTTACTGCGTGAGGTGGCTGGGAAGGGCTCGCTCAAGTGAACATCTTACAACAACCGCCGGGCTATTTCCAGCAGTTCCCTCGTCCCTCTGCTGCTGCACCTCCCCATCCTCCCTCCCTGCGGCTGAGACGACTTTAGAGCCAACTTATAGCTTACCGTGAGGTGGCTGGGATGGGCTCGCTCAAGTGCACATCATACAACGACCGCCTTGCTATCTCCAGCAGCTCGTTTGTCCTCTGCTGCCGCACATCCCCGTCCTCCCTCCCTCCCACGCTCACCCTCCCTCCGCCGCTCAACGCCCCTACCGCACCCAACCCATCTGCAGCTACCACAGCGGAGCCCTCCCCTTCCCCTCCTTCCCCACCTCCCTCCATCCCACGATCGGACTCAAGTCCTGCGCCCCCCTTAGCTGGACTCCCGGACTCTCCCCCTAATCCCGACCGCCCAATCCGCCCCTTCCCCGCGCGCATCCCCACCCCCCGCCGCGCATCCTCCCCCCACGTCCCCCCACCGCTTCCGCTCACGCCTATCGCTGCTCCCGAGCCTCCGGACGGTATGGAATGGTGGTACGGATGCTGCCCGTTGCTGTCCCGAGCCTCGCCGGGAAGCTCGGCGAGCGGAGGTTCGGAGAAAGAGGGGTGGGTGAAGGGGTCGATAGGCGTCCTGTGAACGACGACCTGTAGCAGCTCCCCCGGGAAGATGAAATCGCGCGTGTAGGGGAGAAGCGCTGACGCGGCGGATAGAGACGAGAGGTCCGTGTTCAGGGACCCTGTGGGATGGGCGTTTGAGTGGAGGTAGGGGGGAAAGCGGTGAGTTGACGCAATTAGTTTGCTGCCTAACATGAAAAGTATCGTGGACGGTGGAAGACGTGACGTAAATGCTTCGTCATGTCATCTTACCTCCTTAGCCGTCTGGCCTAGTAGTCATCAAGTGAGCTAAAGCGATTTGGAGTGGCCCATCTTACGAAAAGGTTTCTGAGTGACACAATCGCAACTGCCCGACTAAGGGACGGTCACCAGTTGCAGCTTCCTCTTACCGCGCAAAATAGCCACTCCCCCTTCCGAAGGCGCCACAGGCGCATGGTTTTCCAGCGGCATGCGCGTGCGCACGCGCCGAGCCTCTCCCCCCATGGCCCCCGCGCTTAGCCCGGACATAGCCCCCCCTCCGCCGTAGCTGCTCGAGCGCCCTGCTTGCCCCGAGCCTCCGCCGCTGTGCTCAATATCAGGCTCGCTGGAGACGCTAAGTAGCGGGGAGCTGGGACGGCGGGAGTTGAGTCCTCCGGCTGGGGAATCGGCGGCGGAATCGGCGGTGGAGGAGAGGAGGGAGGAGGCATCGGTGAAAGAGAGATGGCGCGAGCCGAACATGGCTCAGCCTGGATTGGCGGGAGAGCGCAGGGGAATGGAGGAGAGGAGAGGAGAGGAGAGGGGAGGGGAGGGGAGGGGAGGAGAGGAGAGGAGAGGAGAGGAGAGGGGAGGAGAGGAGAGGAGAGGAGAGGGAGGAGGAGAGGAGAGGAGAGGAGGAAGTTGGGGTTCGGAAGGGAAAAGAGAGGAAGGACGGAACCCAGATGAGGAATGTGTCAGGAGAAAACACCGTCGATAGAGTGGGGAAATCGGAGATTGAAACGCGAGATCAGATGCATGCAAGCAAGCCTCGCTATATCGAAGCTATTGAGAGGAATCGTAGGGCAATGTCGAAGCATTCCCCATGGGAGCTACAGCGTGTTCTGCGAGCAATGCCGACGATACCGTGACGAAAGACGCCACGCGGCAATAGCGATGCGATAATAAGGAACACACACGCGTAGGGGGTAAGCGAGATAAGAATGGGGATGAAAATCACGGAAAAAGACCAGACGCAATGGACGCACCTACAAACCCTCACGCCGAGCGATTTTTAATCGACGGCGTGAGCTAGCGAGGACCGTCCAGATCGCGAAACTAGCGACGGCGAACGCAACAAGGGGACGATAATAACGCGGATTGCGGTGGGAAGCGGAGATTGAAACAGCGAATGAAGTGCCTTGAGATCAGGCAGCCATTTCGTGGAAAGGTCATGGACAGTGAAGGGTGATGCAGCGGATCCAGCAGATGGATGCTACGGATCGATCAATAACGAGAAGAACATTAGCGAGGAAAACATGGAAGGAATTACTGAGCCATCAGCTTTGTTTGCTTGTTTTTTCAAGGGTCCCACACCAGGAGAAATCAAATCAGCAGCTACCAATGTGATGTGACATAATCTTATCTACAATAATATCCAGGAGACCTAAATAATAGCTCTAACATTTATTAATCACATCGTCATCTCTTCAAATGGCTTGCCATCCACGGGAACGGAAAACTGCCAAGCGGAATAGGCAAACAAATATGTGAGACGGCACATGTATCAGTGACATTGCGAGTGGAAATAAGGAGGATATCGATACATGTATCTGTAAAATGCGGCACTTACATTTTGGGGCCTTGAAAAGCTTTGATGAAATGTTAGATATTTCTCGGGTGACATTTAGTCCTGCTATCTTGACACGCCTCACTGCAAGAAGATTGAACCAGTCCATATCAGCCACATCCTGGCAAAAATGCAGGAAACCTGCAACAGTTGAAGTGCACACCATCAGCCATGGTAGTTAACTTACATGCTCGTTGGAAGGGGTTAGAGGAGGACTTGGGTCGAGGAATTAATTGCTTCGACGAAGTTCCTTGAAGCTTTTGATACCTGCGGTGCCTCTGAAAACAAGCAATGGGTCCGTGTTAGACACAAACGACAAACTAGCCACAAAACTGCAAAAATAGAGAAGCCGGACAGCTTATCATACCTCTTGTGCCAATGAGTCAAAATGCTGGTCATGCACGCCATTCAGCTTGAACGGATCCTGGTCGGTGTTTGTGGGAATGTCTTCCCATTCCACTTCACGTAAGAGCTGCTGCAGCTTGGCTGGTGAGCGGACCTTAGGTGACAAGCTGTGTGAGATGGACCCACTTGTGGTCTTAACGTCACAGTTCCGTTGCTTGACTGAATCAACCTCGGGACTCTTGCTGGCGATGCTCTCCTTCTTCGCATCCCGTGATAACCAGTCCGAGAAGGAAGTAGATCGGCAAGCCTTGTCCAGAGCCTTCACTGGAAACTTGCTGGGAGACAGACCCCAGTCTGTGGAGGGCCGTCGTGGGCTCAAGTTCAGTCCCAGCTGTTGTGACTTCAAAGTGGGGGAGAAGGCTCGATTTTTGAAGAACGGGTCTTCATCAGCATCACCACAACAATTCTCCTTGTCAGAATCGAAGCCATCTCGGTTTGGGGAGCTTGGCGGCATCTGTCTCCTGGTGAACCCATCAGGCTTCCGTTGAGGGGTACGGTTTCCTCGCTTAAATCGTGGAGACTGCATCGTCCTTCGCGTCTTCGAGCTCGCTGGACGGCGAGAGAGCAGTTGAGGTGCCTTACTGTCACCTCGACCAGTGATTAACAGGACCTTATCGTGATTGCAACCTTCTTCTTCTGAGAACACCACCGAGGTTTTCCTCTCCAGAGAGCGAGCAGAGGGCGAGCATTTTGGCGAAGCAGCAGGCTTGGCGTTGATGTCCCCATCATATCCTGGGTCCGCATCTGGAACTTCAGAGCGAGTGTCTTTGTCGTTGGTCCCCGATTCCAAAATGCTCAGGTTCATAGAGAAGTTCTCGAATTCAGACAAGGAAGAAGGTGACTTCTCGGGAGAAACTCGTGGAAAGGCCTCGTAAGCTGTCACGCTGAACGATGACTTGAGATCCCACGCACCTCCAGTCATGCCAACACAGTCCTCGAGAAAACGCTTCATCTGCTCACGCTTCCCTTCCTGCGGAAATTCAGCTCCAAGTGAAGCCATGGCACTAAGGGACTTCAAACACCACACAATAGTTTCTTAAACTGATTCTGTCTCTTTGGAAGCTTACTAGCCTGCAGTCATCACGGCTTACACTTGCAGCTGAATTCTGGACCGAGATTCTCTCTTTCAGCCTCGGAAGACCATTCCATACCATCAATAGCGACCCAGGAGGCTCCATCCTGTCAATCCTAGCGGCGAGATTTCCGCGTCTCGGTCATGTCTAGCTTGTGGTTGATGTCGAAGCCGTAACGAGGCACTCTGACCCCGTCTCGCTGGGGAGACTCCCTTTGCCCTCGAGATTTGCGGGTGAAGCTTTTGAGCGCGAACCGATTGTGCAAATTCGTTTGAGGTACAACCAGTAAGTGCAAAAAAATCCTTACCGGTATGCCCATATCACCGATACACTCTAAACAAGATTCATATATTCATGTTGTCCCCTCTATGTGCTTGTGGTGTACCTAGATTGACTCCCTCCCTAGCTTTATATATACTATCCTTCCATATCACCGTTTAATTGATCCAAATAACTCAACTATAAACTGGTATAATATCATCAAACGCATATGTCCACCTGTATCGTTTCTTCAATTAATCAATAACAAATGCAACGAATGCATCCACCATACGATATATATTATTTATGCCCTAGTTATATGTAATTTTTTTTGCTTATTTTATAATAACAATACATATTTGCTTGGTTATTGTGGATACCCTGCCCTATTCTCTATATTGATCCAATACTAAACCTGCTTACAAAATAAGTGGCAGACATACATACCACTGTAGTCATTCATTTATACATGTTTCCGCCTCCGCCTTGGTGTTCGCAACCGAGGTTGTGTAATCCAGCGCGCACAGATACCCAATGACAGTCAAGCGTCAAATCCACATGGCGGTTACCGATTAGTGCACCACATGCACCTCCACGGTTCTTGCTTCTCCCCAACCATGACCCGAGGCGTTCTCGCGAACTGAAACGCGCAGAGTGTGCTGCTCCCACTGCGCCAAGGCTGGTTGGCGCGTCGCTGGATTGCGGGGGAGAGACTTCGGGAAAACGTGGTCCCGCCAGTGCTCCGCCAACAACATTTCGCCACCTTGGGATTTGTTGTGGGTGGGTACATGACCCTCGCCTCCTCCTGCTCTATGCTCACTGCCTACCGCCACTGCTTGTTCATCGTTCCTCCCATCTTCGTCAGTTGGGAAGGGAATGTCATTTTATCTCGTGCATGATCAAATATCGGCTGTGAATGCGGTGTTTCAGGGCTCATATGCGCCTCGCTGATTTTCCAGCCACGCCATTTTGTTCTTCTGAGCAGTCAGGCGTGCGTTTTACTTTTAAGAACCGCATAATGGTAGAAGACTCAGGCTATCAGGTGGTACACTAGGCCTGCGGTGATCCACTGCCTGTACAGTCACATTCATCGCGCGAACCTGATCCCCACTCGACGACACCGTCGGTATTTCTAGCACAATGATCTCAGCATCACCGCTGCACACCGCTGGCTGCGCGCCAGCATTCAATTCAACCGCGTCAGCGCGTCACCGCCCATTCAGCTCTAGCTCTGTTAGCAGCAAGCCGTTGCTTGCATCCCTCCCTCAACGGCACCGCGAGCGCCTTCTTTTCTCCCTCAATGCCGGACCCAACAGCTTTTCCGGGAAGCTCACGCCTCGGACCCGAACAGTTACACTCACGCACTTCTTCTCCGCTCCTGACGCTCGCTCCGCGACTCGCTCCAACGGCGTACAGCTCCGTGTGAGCGCGCGTGACGTTGAGAGTAGCAGATTCGTGGACGAGGGGAGGGAGGGACGGTTAACGTCGGATTCTGCGAGAGAAGTCGAGCACGCAAGGGAGGATACTGCTGCGCCCGGTAAAGACTCTGGAAGTGATGTGAGTCAGGGAGAGAGAAGCGGTGAAAGCCAGGAAGGTCCGAGGCAGAGTTACAGAAGCGAGTGGAGGGGCACTGACAGGGACGGAAACGTGACAGAGGGAGGAATGGACGGGACGGAGAGCAGGGATAGAAGGGCTAGATACGTGCGGAACAGCGGGCGTTGGGAATGGATTCCGGCGGGACGCGATCGACGCGCCAGCGTGCATGTCAACGTGCCCGTCGCCAACAGCAGCGGCAGGAGCAGCAGCGGCAGGAGCGGTAGCGGTAACAACACTGGCTACCGCAGCGGCGGGCGTCGAAGAAGCGTCAGAGACGGCGGATCTTCCGGCGGTTCCAGCTCGGAAAGTGAGGGGGAAGAGGACCAGGGGAATGCGCAGGGCGGGAGCAGGTCGTGGGGGGGATCTGGCGGGAGGGAGGATGGCGGAGGGGGGAGATCGAGAGGCAATGGGCGCGGACTGGCGCTTGCGCGGTCTGTAGTGATCGACCTGCTGGCGCGGAGCAAGGAGAGTGTGGAGGAGGTGGTGTCGCCGGTGCTGTCGCGATTGTCCGCTGCGACGCTGTGGGATCATGTGAGTGCGAAATTCGCATTGCGCAGTGCCATCAAACCACTCGCATTCCACTTTCCAGCCAAGGCAACCACCCCAACAATCTACTCTCGTCATTCTGTCCCTCCCCTATCCATCCCCTCCACTCCCCCCTCTCCCCGCCCCCTCGCGTCTCTAGATCCTCCGGGATTTAGAGCACAGGGGAAACAAAAGGCGCGCGTACGAGGTCTTCGAGTACTTGCTCCTAGGCAAGGAGCACCACGGAGTGACCCTCTCCCCGCAGCTCTTCTCCACCGTCATCACCATGCTGGGCCGCGACGGCAAGCTGGCGCACGCGCGCGCGGCGTTCGACGCGATGGCGGCGCACGGCGTGGCGCGCGGCGTGCACGAGTTCACGTCGCTGCTGAGCGGGTACGCGCGGCACGGATTGATCCGCGAGGCGACGGACGTGCTGGCGCTGATGAAGGAGGAGGGGTGCGAGCCGAACGTGGTGACGTACAACGCGCTCATTCACGCGCACGCGAAGCAGGGCTCCGTAGTTGATAAGGTGCGTGTGTGCGTGCTGAGGTTAACAGTTCTTTCAAGCGCCTCAAAAGAGGTGCGCGGGCCGAACGTGGTGACGTACAACGCGCTGATTCACGCGCACGCGAAGCAGGGCTCGGGAGTTGATAAGGTGCGTGCGAGCGTGCTGAGGTGAGCTGATTTATGAGCTTATTTGGAAAGAATGAACAACGGGACGTGTGTGTTGAGGTTGAAGGAACGCAAGGTGGATGCGGGACTGACGAAGCATTGTGAAATGGGGGTTTAAAAAAAAGCAGTGGGCATGGGGCAAACGAATGTGGGGTGGAGGGAGTTAGAGACTCATAGTTGGGAGGGGGACAAACAATACACACACAACACACAGACAAAAACACTAACGCACACAACCCCAACACATGCTCCCTCAGCTTTGTCTCTTTCCCACCACTCGTTTTAAAGAGCCTGTCCTCCTTCCCCACCACCCTCTGTTTCAACCAACACAGTTCCCGCAGTTTCCCTCTTCTCGTCCCCATCCCATCCCACGTTCAAGTAACGGCTGAAATAGCGGCCGTAGCGGCCGTAACACAGTTCCCGCAGTTTCCCTCTTCTCGTCCCCATCCCATCCCACGTTCAACCAGACTCTCTGTCGCATCTGGCTCACTCGCCCCACCCCTCTCTCTCCTGCTCCCCTTCATTCAGGTGACAGCACTCTTCGATGAGATGACAGCACGGGGAGTGGAGCCGGACGCCATCACGTACAACACGCTGATCAACGTGTGTGTGCGCTGCCGGGACGTGGAGCGCGCTCTCACCGTCTTCCACACCATGCGCCAAGCTGGCTTCTCCCCCAACGTCATCACTTACACGAGTCTTGTGGACGGGCTGGGCAAGGAGGGGCGCGTGAAAGAGGCAGCAGAGCTGTTCGAGGTGAGTGGTTAGAGCATGGGAGTTTGTATAGTAGAAGAGGGAGCGAGCTCTGACTGTCTTCCACACCATGTGCCAAGCTGGCTTCTCCCCCAACATCATCACCTACACCAGCCTGGTGGACGGGCTGGACAAGGCGGGCCGCGTGAAAGAAGCTGCAGAGCTGTTCGAGGTGAGTGGGTAGACCTTGAGGGTTTAGACAGTAGAAGAGGGTGAGCGCCAAGGCGGGGCGGGTCAGAGAGTCTGCAGAGCTGTTCGAGGTGAGCGGGTAGAGGATGAGGGTTTGCGAAGTAGTAGAAGAGGGAGCGCGCTCTGTCCGTCTTCCACACCATGCGCCAGGCGGGTTCCTCCCCCAACGTCATCACTTACACGAGCCTGGTTGACGGGCTGGGCAAGGCGGGGCGCGTGAAAGAGGCTGCAGAGCTGTTCGAGGTGAGTGTGTGGGTGACGAGTGTTTGCAAAGAGGAGGGAGTGGGAAGGGAAAGGTGGAAAGGAAGGGTTGGGAAAAAGGAGATCGAATCTGGAAGTCCCCTGACGCTCTCCCTGTCCCTCTCCCAACCCCACCCATCCGACCCTCATCCACATGCCCAATTCCCATGCCAATGCCTTCGCCCTTGCGCATGCCCATCCCCACCACCATCCCCATCCCCATCCCCAAATATCCCGTGCTCATCCTCACCCTCATCCCCACCCCCATCCCATCCAACCAATCCCATCCCATCCCCATCCCCATCCCCATATCCATCCCCATCCCCATATCCATCCCCATCCCCATATTCATCCCCATCCCCATCCCCATCCCCACCCCCATGCCCACCCCCATGCCCACCCCCATGCCCATCCCCATGCCCACCCCCATGCCCACCCCCATGCCCACCCCCATGCCCACCCCCATGCCCACCCCCATGCACAGGAGAGGAAGCAC